GCAGAATGTGAGAACCACTGGTCATTTGGAATATCAGCATCCATCTTCAATCTGGGGGTACTAAAGCTTGCGAATGAGACGGTGGCAGATGTGGATGCAACGGTGGTGCTGAAGGCAGCTCATGAATCCAGCAATGAAGAAGAGACATTCGCCATGAAAAAATGGACCAGTCACGCCGTAATCTTTTTATCGCAACACTATATCTTTCATTTTCTTCCTCCTCCTTGAAGATCTCCACTAAATTATAACAACGATATATCTGTATATCTTTGGAACAGTTATGCATTGAAGTAGAGAGTTGGTGAAGATAGTTTCCTCAGCTTCACACAATGGTCCAATTTTTTTCTCCGACATCAAGAGTAATTTGGTTCTTTTGCAATCACAAGCCCTTCAAATCAAATAAATATACCACTGCAAAAACCTCTCCTATTATTCTCTACAAAAAAAATGGAGGAAGCTTCCTAAATGCAATATGAAAACTTCATGGAGGAATCTATCACATTTCCAATGAACTTTGAATTGCAACATCAAAGATTGTTTTCCTATGATATAATCATATGGATGTCATAAAAATCATAACTTACAAACACCCGTCAATAGCTAAATGCTTAAGAACATTTGTTTTGGTTCCTTGAAGTCGGCATCAATGAGCAAGTCACAACCAAAGTGGTGCAGATGATGGGATCACTGTGGCAGAAAACAGCCAAATAGTTGTACTATTTCATTGATGCAGATATGTCATAATGTGTTTAACTTGTTTGTAACAAAACAGTCGGAGACAAAAAATTTCCTAAACAACCTGAATTTTTCTTTTTTTGGTTTAAAGAGTGTTTAGATCAGCTTACGCGTACCTCCACTAGTCCCCTAACCCCGAACAAGACTTCCAAAATAGGTACCTCCACTAGTCCCCTAACCCCGAACAAGACTTCCAAAATAGGGTAAGCCCTGCGGTCCGTGGCTAACAAATAACAATACTAGTTTGATAGTAGTATGTAAAACTTCTCTCAAGTTTGAATTCCTCTCAGTTTTTTGACACTACCAACAATCTTACGATAAATTATTCAGTATAAAACTGGTGAAGACCCACTGATATTATATGATCATAGAACAAATTTCATGCTAGACTCAAGAAAACAAATTTAGACCTAAGAAGTATACATGTAAATCAATTTTCCCTTCAGTAAAACTAAAATTTAGAAATTAGAAACACCCTTTAGCAAAGAGAAAGTTTTATGTGAACTCTTTCATTTTCCAGACCTCTGAAATTCATGATATATATCCAGGAAATCAATTTTTCCTCCAAACACATCCAACAACTGAGGTACTTTTTCCTGAAATCGAGTTATATACTTCTCAATAAATTTGCTCTCTGTAAGTTTCAAGTAAGCTAATGGAGATTTATATTCTCTGATCAGACCTTTGGATAGCAGAACTTGAATTACAAAACACCTTGGAACAATCCTCTTCTCCAAGCTGTAAGTGAAAACTTCTGGCCATTTAGAAATATCTCGCGACAGCCAACCCATTTTGTTCACAAGGAAGTCCATAACTCTTGTAATCTTCTCCTCGGATATCTGCATACAACATGGATTCCTTCTAAAAGCAGCGAGAGTGTCATCCTCGGACAAACCACACCTCCTATAAACCTTAAACTTAGATTCCCAAACCGATTCCTTCAAATGGTTAATTACTCCAATTGCCTTAACAAACACAGTTTGGGTGGGATTAAATCCCATTTCCTTAACCTGATTGACAACCTTGCAAAATTTAGAATGTTTGGAACATGCTGCGCTGGGGAATTTAGTCACCAAAGCAGAAATTCGAGATTGAGGCATACCAATATCTTTCAAAAGAGCTATATTTGGACCAAAATTTTTAATCCTTAAGTCAATTAAAAATAGCCATAGCATGCCCTTCAAAACTTTGACAACTTTTTCGTCATGAATTACAACATTCTTGAGGAAATTATAATTGGGGATAAGATGATTCTTTAAACTCATAGATAACAATGTTGGACTCTTTGCTATGATCATTGCTAGTTCACTACTTGAAACCCCTATAGAACGGAAAAACTCAATCTTGGGCGAAAGTGTCTTTTCAGGATCAATTAGAATGACTCGTGGGCATCCTCTCACAACCTTAGAGATCTGGGATTTGGAGAAACCATGGGCGCTGAGAAACCTAAGGACTGAGTCCGCTCTTTCAGTGTTCTTCAATTGAAGATACTTAGAAGCAGAAACAGCAGATTTTAAAGACAGCCCACATGAGTTTATCAATTAAGAAACTGTAAAAGACTCTTCCTGTTCAGTTTGTTTAGTTTTTAACGATCTCTTCTCTAAATGCGAAGATGATGAAAGAAACCTAAGAGGGAAAATCTTATTTTGAGAAAAACCCACTTGAGTAGTTGTGAGATTCAGAGCAAAATCCCTATCAGCAATTACTTTTATTGTTGTTTTACAAAGAAAACGAAACATGATGAACTTAACTTACTCAACTTTAAACTGCATTCCGGAAACTTCTTCAATTCAAACTGCCAATGCCAAGACTACTTATGCTGAAGCTGTATACAGAGCCTTCAACGTTCAATTCTGAGCCGCCATCGTTTTGTAATGTTGACCTAGCGCTTGTGGGGATGTGTACATTAAAGGTGCCTTTGGTTTAGTATTTCGGATAGGATTTTTGGGGATAATATTGGGTTATTAAATAAGGGAGTATTATGAAGTAAATTTTAAAAATTTATGAAAAAAGCTCTTAGGTTTACTAATTTAATTAAAGACCCTAACATATAAAATGACAAAAACACCCCCACCACCTACAGTGTCAGATTTCGGCCACCATCGTTGGAATCTAGCCAGAAAATTTCGTTACGGCACAGACCGGTCGGATCTATGCCGTAACACGTCGTTATGGCCTTTTTCGGCCATATCCATGGTGGATCTGGCAAGAAAAGGCCAGATCTACGGTCTGTTATGGTCGTCGACGGCCGGAAAAGACCAAACGACGGCGACGGCCAAAGATGTGGCCGTCGTTTTCGGTCAATGACGGTCATTTCTTTGGCCGTCGCTGACGGCCAGATCTGGCCTTTTTCGGCCAGATCCGTGATCTGGCCGAAAAAGGCCACATCGGTGAAATTACGGCCATTTCTGGTCAGAAGTTAGGTCGTTGTACAGATTCCGACTATCACCGACGATGGTTGCCGAAATCTGACAAGTTGGGTTGATGGGGGTGTTTTTGTTAATTTTTATACTTTTTTTCAGGGGGTATTTAGTGAAATTAATAACTTTATGGGGTCTAAAAGTAATTAAAAAATAGGGTAATATTTCTGGAATAATGGCAAACATTATTTGGAGAATAGGATCCAGAATATGGATAAAAATACTAAGCCAAACATGCAGTAAGTTATTTATGTGACCCCATAGAAAACTGACATATAATTTTTTTAAATAAAAAAAGGGGTTCGGGTTGGTTTTCGGGTAAGACTAAAACCAAACCGAAAAATCTGGTTCAGCATTTCTTGATCCGATCTATACTTGGATCTAATTTTAACCCCATTTTTTGGATCTAACATCAGACTAATTTTCCTTTTCAAGTAAATGGGAGGGATGTACTTGAATACAACTTGTAATGATCAAAACAAGTTGGAAATGGAAACCATCCAAACAAATGGACGATTTGAATTCTCTCCTTGTACTTCAATCATCAAGATTTAATACATACAAGTATTTAATGAAATGGAAACATGCAAAGAAAGAGTTCTACCCAAGCCCATGAAAGACCCATGGCCCAGCCCAAATTGTTGAGTTATTGGATTGGGTTCCTATCAGACATTCACTAATGGTAAGCTTCTTAAGGGAAGGAATTTGGGTGGGTAATTTCTCAATCAACTTTGGGCAATTTTGTAGGGTAAGGTGTTTGAGACAAGGAAAAATTTCTTCAATTGCTTCATTACTTGCAGAAGGAAAGTACCACGATTCCCACTTCAACATACTCTTAAACCGGAGAGTTTCCAAAGATGGAAAAGGCTTTTCTTGATATACTTTTTCTATAGCATCCATGCCTTCGATGCACAACTCTTTAAGTGAAGGTAGTCTCCACAGTGATGGAAGCGATGAGCTTTTTCTACAATTAAGTAGGTATATGTAGACTACGTTAGTGAATGTGGGATCCCCTATCCAAGATGCAAACTCTGTACCACCATAACATGAAACTGTAAGCTTTTTAAGGCTTCTATCAGGTTTTAGATAATTGAGGACACGTAACTCAGCATTTAAATTCCTTGAATCATTGAAGATGTTAATCCATTCCAAAGTTAATTCAACAAGACCATGCTTCTCCGTTAAATTGGCAATCTCTGCATCTTTAACTTTCACCACATTATGCAATCCATAAATGGAAAGCTCACCTCGAAGATGTGATAGCTCTTTCAACTCTCTGAGCTTGAGGTGATTGCTTCTACCCACAACAAATTTGGTCAATTTTCGTAGATTGGTCAACTTACATATCCCAGAAGGCATCTCTAGCAAACAAGTTGTATCTTTAATATCAAGATAATGCAAATTGATTAGGTTGATGATACCTGAAGGTAACTTTGTTAGTTTTGAGCAACCACGCAAATTCAATATCAGTAAGTTGACAAGTTTACTGACTGATTCAGGCAACAAACTAATTTCAGTGCAAGACAAATTAAGATACCGTAAATGTTTCAAATCACCAATTGATTTTGGCAGCTCTCTAATGCCATAACCACTCAAAGATAAAGATCTTAAGCATTTTAACCTTGGCAGCATTTCATGATGGAAAGATTTACTTAAGTAGCAACCTGCAGTCCAAGTTGAAGTATGAATCGGTAGTGCTAAAAGTGTTCGTAAAGACTTCATTTCGTAGCAATCTTTGAATCTTTGTAAGACTTCATAATTGTGACGAGTGAACGCCATATGACGAGTCTTTTGAAGAATTCTAACTGGCTCATTGCTGTCAACTTTATCTTCTAAACAAAAACATATGTCTTTCGCAACAGATTTTGCCAAATCATTTATAAGGTCATGCATAACAAACAGCGATTCCTTGCTCTTAGATCGTTCAAAAAATGACCTTGCCAATAATTCATTAAAATAATGGCCTCCCACATCTTCCACTAGTTTCTTTCCCCTTTGGTGTAGGAGAAAAGCCTCTGCCATCCATAACAAAACCAACTCATCCTTATGAAATTTGTAACCTTTTGGAAAAATTGAACAGTAAACAAACAATTGCTTCAAATAGGAAGGAAGATGATGGTAGCTTACTCTCAAAGCTGGAAGAATGCCAATTTTCTGTTCTGGAAAATCCCACATCCTGCTATTCAAAACAGCTTCCCATTCACCACGATCAAATTTGTTCTGCAATAGGCCTCCCATGACTTTTGCTGCCAATGGCAACCCCTGAAATTTTCTCACTATCTCCTCACCAATCTCTTTAAGTTCTCGCTGCTCATCAAGATTTCTACGTCCCAATGCTAGTTGTGTAAATAAAGAAAAACAATCACCATCACACAACAAATTTACGCGGTAAATCTCAACAGCTCCCATAACTTGTGCAACACCATCATTACGAGTTGTAACAATTATTTTGCTTCCAACATCCCCTGGTAAAAAGGGACTTCTTAGAGCATCCCAGAGTAGGTAATTCTCATTCCAAACGTCATCCAACACGATCAGATATTTTTTCCCAGATAAACTCGCTTTCAACTTTACTTGAAGTGAGTTTAAATCACTTGAATTGAAAATCTCATTAGTGATTGCTTCTAAAATTGTCCTTGTTATCCTTACAACATCAAATTCATAAGACACACAAACCCAAGCTTTCAAATCAAAATACTCATTAATTCTACAATCATTATAAACAAGCTGGGCGAGAGTTGTTTTGCCAACCCCACCCATACCAATAATACAGATCAAACAAACATCATCACCACCACTACCACCTCCATTTTCATTCTTCATCAGCATCCCAACAATCTTCTCTTTATCTTTTTCTCTACCGTAAACACGAGATTCAATAACTAAAGAAGTAGATGGCAAAATTTCTTTGATTAAACTAACCCTCCCTGGATTAAAAACCCCAATTTCTTTCAACCTGAGGTTATCTTTTTCATTCACCATAACTTGAAATCTTTCAGCTATTTTCTTAATCTTGAGACCCATTTTCATATTCAAAATGAACGAAAAAATTATGTGCGGTACCTTGGTTTTCATGAGCTGAGAATCTCTCATCAAGTTTTGCCGCAAACTTTCAGTAGCAAACTCATCTAACAAGTCTTCCAAATCGTAGGCCAAATCCCTGATATCGTCCAGCCAGATCCTGACCGACCGATCAGAAATTTGCTTCTCCTCAGCATCATCCAGAACGGCTTGGATCTTGAGCAGAATGTTCCGGAGGTTGTTGATTTCAGAGTAGAGTTTTCCTCTGCGAGCAAAACTGATCACCTCACAGGAGATTAATTTGTCAAAGAGAAGATCCATAGTATAAGAAATAAGACTTTGACCGACAGTGCAAGCCAGGTTTTCCATTATCAATTATCGGAGGAATTTGGAGGAATATGACTCTTTTGTAAGGGACAAAGTAACACTGGATGGTCATTGCTCATTGGCAGATAACAAAAGTGGTACTGTGTTTGTTCGGTCCACGTGTAACAATATTATTGGATAATCTAAATTTAAGATAAATTAGACAAAAAATTAATGAGATATGCAAAGTTATCTTACAATTAACTTGTTAATATGAAAATGTGAGTAACGGTGATCTGTTGAGGCTAGGTGGCGCCTTTGTTTAGTGTTTTAGTTTTGCAATGTTGAAGGACAATTACGAAGGCCTCCCTAAAGTTTGACGGTTTAACAGTTAAGTGGAAAGTTTAATAAAATAATAAACCCTATGTGTTGAATCATGAATGTCATATCTTAAAGGTTTATTTCTTCCCCTTTAAATAAATCACCAAGTTTGGAAATCCAAACGATTTCCGAGAACTTCAAAAAATTTCTTATTTAGATTTTTTTTTTTTTTTTTTGGCTCATATAAAAAGAAAACATTTTAATAAATAATTGTTAAAACATTTTTTTAGTCATTTTTAACTTTAAATATTACTAATTGGATTCAATATGTTAAATGGGGAAACTTTATGTTCTGATTTGAGTTAGAATTCTACTAATTTTATTTATTTATTTATTTTTTTTTTTTTTTTGCGGGTGTGTACCACAAATCCACAATGGTGTCTCATTTACATGACTTTAGGCATCCTTTTCTTTTTATTTGTAGTGAAAAATTAAAAATACAATAATATCTAAGGGCCTGTTATTTTAAGCAAGCTGTGTAGGTTTGCATATTTAAGAGTGCCTTTATAGCATCTCCAATGGTGCTCTTTATTTTGAAGAGTATATTTCTTATAAATAAAGAGTATCTTCATTAATTTTTAAATATAAAGAACACAAATTTTATTTAAATCTAATAGACTCTTTAAATTTAATGAAGATGCTCTTTATTTTCAAGAAAGAGACTTAATGGGGAAGAGAAATAATAAATAAAATGCGTAGAAAGTTGTAGTTTATTAAATAAAATTAGAATATAGAGTGAAATTTGACTCTCTAAATGTAGAGAGCAAAACTCACTCTTTAATTTATATTTTAAAGATAAAGAGTCTGTTGGACTCTTGTTTTTATGGATAGACTCTTTATAATAAAGAATTTAGGTCATATAAAGAGTTATTTGGAGATGCTCTTATGAAAGCTTACTATCTCCAACCCATTTCACCAAATTGGTAAAAGTTTCACACCAAATTAGTGTGATTTTTGGTGTGAAACACTATTGCATCTCCAACCCATTGCACCAAATACTACACAAAAAAGAATATTTTTTAGAATATTATTTCTTTTTCTTTTATTGTAATAATCAACAATTAATCTATTTCATTCATTATTTTTGTATATATTAATTAAATATTGGGAATTATATTTTTATTAAATTATAATTATTTGTTTAATCTAGGCTTTTGGTAATTACCTTTAATTACATTGATTATTACATTCCCAAAGCTAAAAATACCTATAGTGAATTCTTTATTAAAAATAGATTATTGAGAGAAGTCAGATATTATTCTTTACTTTTGAAATGTAATTTACCAAACACATTTTGGATGCTGTTAATGGTAATTTATGGATAGAACTTTAGCAACCCCAATTCACTCTTTTGTTAACAAGAGGTACAATTCAAATTGGCCCATCTTAAGTTAATTAAGTGTTATAAATGGGCAAAAAACACATTGACAAAGGGAAAACAAAACTACATTAGAGTAAAATAGAATAAAGGTTTGAGCATAAAGATGGTATTTGGGCCTGACTGAAAAAAAGATGGGTTTTTTTTCTCATATCCCTAGGCTCCAGGCATGAAATGGTTCATTGACATGCATCGACGGATCCACCTCTACGCAGGACTGTTAGCTATCACCATGCCGGCTACGTCTTTTCGCCTATGTAAAAGAAAAGAAGAGTTGTTTCTAGGAGAGGGACAGTCCATGATATCTGAGTCTTCCATAGTGAGGGCTGCGGGCAGGATCCCCATGCAGGACTGTAAGCTTAGAGCAATTTGATCTTCCACTCTTCAAGCAGTGAGACTATTCAGTCCCCTGTAGCGATAGATTTGCTAGATTCTTGAAATCTGCCGATGCAGTAACGAAATAGAGACTTCGAGGATGCGATCTTCCATCAACCGAAAGGAAGTTAATCTTCAGAACATTCACTCATAACACTGTCTGAGCTCTCTAAGAGAGGTCAATCTGTGCAATTTCCCCTGAGCTTGGGAACCTTCGATTCTCGCAATTCCATATATGCAGTGATGATAATTGCAGGGGAAACCACCCATTGGCAAGGATGCAAGACGGCACAAATCGGTTATTGTTTAGAAAAAAAGTTCTGAAGACCATGACCTGTGCATCTGGTTTGAGAGACTTGAGTCCTCACAATTAAGATGCAGAGGTTCTCAGGCTGGAGACGGTAGGCCCGTTTTCTGGAAAGACTCTAGAGGAGGACAACTAGTTAATTTCTTTCAGTGAGATTTGAGAGGCCTTAGTCCTCAGAAGCTTGACATTGCCATACTTTGAGAGTCACTGCATATCATGTGCGCTTATTGCGAACATTTCTCCAAAGATTTTTCAAACTTCAAGGCAATACGACTCCTCATCCTTTTAAGGCAATCGAGTAGGGTTTCAGTGCCAAGGTATGTAAGAGATGGGCAATCACAATCTCCAATTTTCTCAAGCGCGACTTTCGCTGCTGCCATCATTTTCAAAAGTCTACCTCAGGTAGAATAATGTAGACTTCGACAGCAATGATTTTTCAAAATTTTAAGCATTGGTAGGTACTTGCATTTGAAAGTTCCGATTCCAAAGAGGCAATCTTCATATCCCAATTCTTTCTGCAATCAGACACCTGCTGTTTCACCCACTAAGAATCATCATCTCATCAGTCAAAGTCCTTCAGACCTGGACATTTCTTTTATCAGAAGACTTGAAGATAATATGCCCAATGTATCTGTGGAATGCTGTAAGCGTTGTAAATATTCAATTTGCAACAAACTTTTGAGACATGAAACTTGAATGCGGGCAGAGACTGTAATTCTAGAGACTCTTGGATTTTAGACTGTTAGCGATGGGAGGTGATGCTACATATCTCATGGATCCTCATTGCATTCTTCAATATCTAATTCCACCAGTGGGATGAGAGTCCGTTGATGAACATTTCAACCTTGGCCATTCCCTAATGGTAAGCTTCTTAAGGGAAGGAATTTGGGTTGTAATTGTCTCAATCAACGTTGGTGCAATTTTTTAGGGTAATTGTTTGATACAAGAACAATTTCCTTCATTGCTTCATTACTTCGAAGGAAAGTACCCGGACGATTCCACGTCAACATACTCTTAACGGAGAGTTTCCAAAGCTGGAAAGCTTTCTTGTATACTTGTCTATAGCATCCAGGCCTTGGATTCACAGACTCTTTAAGTGAAGTAGTCCCACAGTGATGGAAGCGATGAGCTTTTCTACAATGAAGTAGGTATAATGTAACTACGTTAGTGAAATGTGGGATCCCCTATCCAAGAGCCACTTCGGTCACATAACATGAAACTGTAAGCTTTTTAAGGCCTCGTAATCAGGTTTTCGGAAATTGAGGACACGTACTCAGCATTTAAATGCCGTGAAGCAGGGAAAGGGATGTTAATCCATTTCCCAGTTAATTTCATACAGACCATGCTTCGCCGTTAAATTGGCAATCGCTGCATCTTTAAACTGTCACCACTTATGCAATCCAGTAAAGGGAAAGCGCACCGCGAAGATGGGATAGGGTGTCTTTGTCAACTCGCTGGAGCGTGAGGTGAGTGCTTGCTACCCACGAACAAATTGGGTCAATGTCGTGAATTGGCCTTTCAACGACCTGCCCAGAAGGCAGCGTCGAGCAAACAGTGGAGCTGTAAGATCAAGATCTGCAAAGTGGCATTAGGTTACTGCGACCTGAGGGACTTTTCGGTAGTGTGTGAGCAACCAAAGCAACGGCAATATCATAAGTTGGACAAGGTTACGGAACGGGACGGGATGCAAGGCGCAACAAACTAATTTTCATGCAAGACCAATTGAACGATACCGTAAATATGTTTCAAATCACCAATTGATTTGGTGGGCAGCTCTCCTCAATGCCATAAAACACCTCAAAAGTTAAGATCTTAAGCACTTGACCTTGGCAACATTTCATGAATGGAAAGAATTTACTTAAGTAGCAACCCGCAGTCCAGTTGAAGTTGACTCGGATCGGGCTAAAATGTCTGTAAAGACCGTCTGTTCGTAGCAATCTTTGAAGTCTTTGTAAGACTTCATAATGTGACAAGTGAACAGACAGATGACAGTCTTTTGAAGATTCTAACTGGCTCATTTCGTCAACTTTATCTTGCTAAACAAAACATTGTCTTTCGCAAACAGATTTTGGGCCAATCCTTTATCAGGGCATGCATAACATCGAGCGATTCCCTTGCTCTTTAGATCGTTCAAACAAAATTGAGCTCGCCAATAATTCATCTAAAATAATGGCCTCCCACATCTTCCCTATTTTCTTTCCCCTTTGGTGTATGAGCAACACCGTCTGCCATACTCATAACCACACCAACTCATCCTTATGAAATTTGTAACCTTTTGGAAAATTTGAACAGTAAACAAACATTGCTTCCAAATAGGAAGGGAAGATGATGGTGAGCTTACTCCTAACAGCTGGAAGAATTGTCCAATTGTCTGGTCTGGAAAAGCCCACCATGCTCGCCTCCTTATTTCTTTCAACCGCGTGCCATTCACCCACACGATCAAATGTGGTCTGCAATAGGCCTCCCATGACTGTCTGCTGCCAATGCAACCCCTGAAATTTTTTCTCACTATCTCCTCTACCAATCTCTAAAGCGTTCTCGCCTGCTCATCAAGATTTTCTACGTCCCAATGCTAGTTGTGTTTGCAGGAATCGGCCTAGCACTTTAAGTGCTAATGGAACACCTTTTGCGCATCTTACAGCCCTATCAGACAATTC